TCAATAATGCAACATGTTAAAAGCATAGCTAAAAAGTGTAGCAATATTAAAGAGAAGACGATTTTGGCATGGTTTCTATTTTAGAGGTGCCGCCTTTTAAAAAATAGTGACAGTTTAATATTTTTGTAACATGGAAAAGGTACAAAGAAAAATACATTAATAAAATATTTAGAGGTCAGTTATAATGCAAATAATTAGTATAATACACATGCTTTCTTTTTTTTTAATCAATGCCTTGCTTAAAAATATCAGTTCCTAAGTGTTGGTGATAATTTATAAATTTATAAATCTTTAAGAACAGGAGTCATAGGAGAGAAAGAACCATAAAAAAACAGGGACATTTGCAAATGTGAAACAGAATAATGGAAGGATTTAGTGAATTTTCTGAAGCTCACAAAACAATTGAATGACCAGGCTGGGAATGAACTCAGGTCTCCTCCCTTCCAGTCAACATCGAAAATTAACCAGATGCTTTTTGCACCCTCTTCCACTAAAAAAATTAGTAGCATAAAGCCAGTCAAGTGTTGCTCTTCAGAGCTTTAGAAACTCAATTTAAATCATTCTTTTAAATACTAACTTGAGTTTTATAATGATGGGGTTAAGTTATTAAAATGCCTAAGTGGGAATATATATTAAAACCTTAAAATTAATATTTGATATAAAATGTTGACAGACATTAAATAGACTCAGTATAGATTGGAGAGACACAGATTTCTAGATAGCTAAGTTTGAAATTGTAGCATCTCTATACCGATTATTTAAGATTATCAGTTTAACAGTAGACAAAAAGCTATAGTTCCCTACTGTTTGAGAACCATTAATTACTCTACAAATAACTAAGGGATTTCCTGGCCTTTCTTTAAATATAAATTCAAGATATTTAGATTGTATTGCAATAACGTGAAATGTACCTGGAAACCTAAAAGACTTTTGAGGTAAACAATTTCTAGCTGATCTCCAAAAATAAAGATTTCCATTTGTGATAAATTTTATTGTGCATTGCTTTATACATTTATGAATTTATTCATTCATTTAATGAGCACATACTTTTATTACATACCTATCATTCTCAAATCACCTTGTGAAGTGTCATGGAGGAAAAATAAAAAGAAGCAAAACTATGTTTCTTACCTTCAAGTTCTAAGATACCAGCTTAAGAACCCTTATCAGAGAAGTCCACCTTGTGGAAGTCAATCCTTACCCATTTATGGAAGCTCCCTTACAGTGAGGGGCTGATGTCCCATTTTGGTAAAGCTTTTCTTGGTTTCAACATTGCTTATGTTGCCATTGGAGTACTCTTCCCAACCTTACGCATAACTCAATTTTCCTTTTTTTTTCCTTTTTATAGTCCTTTTGCCAAGTATATGTTGTTAATGCTGGGATTGACTAAAAATTAACCTGTGGTGGAAAAAATCTGTTTGGTAAATTGTAATCCTATTGAGAATCCTGTGGGACCAGAGATAACATGAAAAGAATGAGGAACTACCTAAATTAACAAACTGGCGGCAAAGTCTCCTTAAGGTGAGAAAAGTCCAGTGACATTTAATGACAATATTTAGAGTATCGTCACAGAGCTGGTCAAACACTTAGCATCCAATCATGCTGTTAATACTTAGGGGAAGGATTAGAGAATGTCAGAGACCTCATGAGGGAGGTCTAGAAGCAACGCACATTCTTCCTTCCAGTCTCTGTGGGCATCATAAATACATCTTTGGAGAAGGTTTTTATTTCAATTGTGCACTAATTTCCTATATTTTGATGTGTTAAGTATTAAAAAGTATGGAATTCCTGACAGTTCTGACATATATGAATGATCTTAGCAACTGTGATCTAATGTGGCATGCATTGTTATTTCCATGTTATAATGGGTGAGCTGTTCCCTAGAGAGGTTAAAGAATCTATTGATGATCAAAGTTAGAGCTAAACCCAGGTCTTCATAGTGAATACTTTTCAATGCAAACTTTAACCTGACCAAGAACCTTTCAAGGAAATCCTGTTAAATTTGACACCTTATGGACAAACCCAAGACAGAACTAATCATGAATTTGCAGAATGAGGGTTCATACTAATTAATGCATTAAAACCAATTGGGTAAGCAGCTTAAAATGACTTAACTTCCATGTGTTATACTTAGGCCAAAATCAAATTCTGAGTAATTGCTATATTTTTAAAAGTTAGACATGTCTCAGTGGTATCTGAGTGAAGATGACTGATAAAATTTTTACCTTAAAGTCTATATTTCCTTGAAAATACTTCTTTAAAATATGCTTTTCTCTCACAATTAAAATATTTGTTTGGATTGAAAATTATAAATGTTTCTTTTTCAGTAATGTAAAGACAATGGGTCCAAAATTATTCAATTGTCTTCCTTAAGAAAATAGACTATTTCCAATAAATGCTTAAGTAATTTTGATTTTTACAAAGAACAATCTTAATATTTCATGCTCTCCCTTATGCTCTCCTATATTTTTTGATAGAAATATATGAATAAAATTTTGCTTTTTATAAAAATATACAAGCAAGAGTGAAATAAGTCAATCAGAGAAAGATATGTATCATATGACCTCACTGACATGAGGAATTCTTAATCTCAGGAAACAAACTGAGTGTTGCTGGAGTGGTGGGGGGTGGGAGGGATGGGGTGG